AAAATTTTGAATGGTTCAACAATATGGAAACCTCATCTTTCTCGTATTCACAAACTCATCACTCATCTAGTAGAGGATATTTTTAATATCACCTATAACCTATTTGAAATTCTAGGAGTTGTCTTCTCTTATGTATATAATATTTTTCATCTAATCTGAGCTACAAGAAAATATTTTCTTATTAGATGAATTTTTACCTTAATTTGTTAGAGAAATTACTATATTTCAACATAAAGGTAACCTATATTTCTTACCAAATAAAATTTTCATAATAAGTAATATGAAGGTTTATATGATAACTATTATTACAAAGAAACCTAGTTAGTGGTATTGATGTTAATTGCATAAGATCTTAGACTATCTCCCAAACAATATTTTGGGTAATATTTTTTCTATAAATTTTCAAAAATTACAATAATTTGGGTATCAAGTAATATAAAAAGAAAAAAATAAATATTATAAATGTCAATCAAATTGTGCATCTACACATTGATATGAAGAGACACATCAACTCATATATGGAAGAGATATAAGCTTTCTAGAGACTAAAAATAAGGGCTTTCTATATCAACATCCTAAATGAATGAGGGGTCACGTTACATGTCAGTAACTTACATAAATATGTACATGTAAATTAGTTTGCGCTGTAGAATTGATGCCCTATAACTTTTTTCCTATAAATAGTGTTTGATAGAATGTGTAGAATCTCATCTCTAAAGGTTTGTAGGTATTACAGAGATATTAACGCTCATTTATAAAACGGAGATAATATTATTTAGGAGAATATGATGTAAAATTGTGGGAAGAGATTCTTAAATTGTCTTTTATAATCGCTAAAATTATTGAACAACGGATTTTGATAAATAAATAAAAAAAAAAAAAGTGTCATCTTTCATTTCCTTTTGAATTTGTAGACATTGTAATCCCGTAGTACACATTTACTTGAATATGCTACCTATGATTTTTGTTCCCTTATTTGGAAGGGTTGTTTCTTACCAACTTTGATTCATGAAGTAAATGAAAAAACAACCCAATACTGAAAGTTCAAAACTAATTGACGACACGACAGAAACATAATTAATTTTGAGCTCCAAAGAGAGGAAAAAAACAATGCAGTTAGTAGAAATTAAGATATATCAGGAACATTTTAAGTAAGTAAATAAGGAAAAAAATTATTCCTGTAAGAGAATGTTCAAAAAAAAAAAAAAAAAAAAACTTATATGATAAAAATAGGTAAAAGATAATAAATTGTATGAGCGATATTGAAGAGAATGAGGACAAGAGTCCTGCAAAGACAGTGTAAATATGTGCAGAGTGTTAGTTAGATTCCACCCAATAACACTAAGAACATCGTCTCCAACTTTATGGCAACGTGAGCTTCTCTGCTTCTGAAGTTTTGTTTTGTATTTCTGACAACTTGAGTCCTGCAAAGACAGTGTAAATATGTGCAGAGTGTTAGTTAGATTCCACCCAATAACACTAAGAACATCGTCTCCAACTTTATGGCAACGTGAGCTTCTCTGCTTCTGAAGTTTTGTTTTGTATTTCTGACAACTTGAGTCCTGCAAAAACAGTGTAAATATGTGCAGAGTGTTAGTTAGATTCCACCCAATAACACTAAGAACATCGTCTCCAACTTTATGGCAACGTGAGCTTCTCTGCTTCTGAAGTTTTGTTTTGTATTTCTGACAACTTGATTTAAATATTTTATGTTTCAGTTCAAATTTAGTTTTTATAAAAAGAAAATATTCTATTCAAATTTTGATATATTTTTTTCTTAATACATTTTAGAAATTTGTTCGGAGAGAATATTTTCAAATATAAACTACATTTTTAGACTGTATTATCCACAAAATATATATATGTAATGTCCGGTCCTTAATATAAAGTTTTTGTAAATATGTAAGTAAGTAAAAAAAATTTAAATTTTGTGATAAAATAAATTAAATTAGAACTTAAGGGTCTAAATGAAAAAAATTTAAAAATTAGGAGTTTTTATAAATTCTAAAAGACTTAAGTGAAAACATGTGGAAAAAAAAAGGCCAAAATTCATAATTAAATAAGAGCAGAAGGGGGACAAATAATAAATTAGAAAATGGACGGTCAAGATCGCACTGTCTAAGGGATTCGACGACTCTAAATCGCAAACGATCGAGCGGTCCAAATTCAATCTTGCAAGATCAGACGACTAGAAAAATTAGCATTTAAAGGAACAAATTAGGGTCTTCATTCCGTAAATTGAGAGCTGAAAATGAGAGAAGAAGAGAGCTGAGTTCGAGCAGATGAGAGAGGAGGCCGAGCTGAGTGAGGGTCGAACCAAGAGGAAGAATAGAACACAGCAAGAGAGAAAGACGAGCAAGGAAGACAAGAAGGAGAGAAGGAAATGTGGTTAAAGAAGAAGAAGGAAGTGTCGCGGAGGCAGAAGGCTAGAAGAATGAAGGAAAAGGGGAGTCGCATTCGAGAGATTCCGCGTTGCGGTAGTTTCTGAAGCTACGCCGCTCGTGACACTGGTGTTCAAAAAAACGGGTGAGTTTTCATCCCTTTCCACTTCGTTGAGTTCCCCTTTTCTCATCTCACTCGAATGGATATGCAGGTGTGAAACTGAATCACTCAACCAGTCACGGCAAATGAGGACTTTCTTTCGGGGAACCAAGAAAACCATTTTTCAAAGGCTAGGAATCGAAACTTGAGTCTGTTTGGGTCTTTACAGCACCGAACCCGAATCTATTGACTTTCCTTTTCCTTTTTTGTTGTGGAGTTTTGGTAAATATAGATGATAATACATATGTATGTGTATGTATATAGATTTTGAAAAATAAATCACCCACACCTACATAGGGAGTTGAAGTGGTGGTCTGCCAAATATCAAAGAACAAACTTGATGTTGGTAATCACCAAGAACCGCCACTGTTAATAGTTTCCTTGTAGGTTTAATTCATTGCCATCAATTAAATCTAATTATGTCTATGTATGGTAATTCTAGGCAGTTGATCAAGTTGAATATAATCTATTTGAGGGACTTTGGTAAATATTTTCTCATTCCAAACCTGGATTAGGATTTTAAAAGTTTATACATGTATATTCTTAATTTTTGTGTGTGTTTGAGTCCTGTATAGATACTTTACTAGTATACTAAGAAGAATAGAGACCCGAACACCATTCAGGCAGCGTGAGCTTGCCAGGGGGAGTTTAGGACATTTGATCTATGATGGTCGTGTGCTTATTTCATTGTTTTTGACAATTGTAGACCTTCATGATTATTATGCGACCCGTCATAAAAGGATAAAATTTTGAGATTTATGGTAAAATAAAATAAGATTGTAATTTAAAAATAATTAAAATTAATTAGAACAAGAATTAATAAATTAAATAAAGGAAAGAATTGGAAGACAAAGAGTAGACATGAGTGAGTAATATATGAACCCTGGATACATATTCGTTTAGTCTAAATCGAGGGGGGGAGGGTGCTTGTGTGGCTGAATTTCAGCGAGTATGATGAACCTGCACATGGATAATATTTGAAATCTAGTTCAGACGTGGATAGGTATATGTGAGCGTGTAGGTCACCTAATAAATGTAACTTTTGTGGCAAATATGAGATTGTGTATCCTATGCATGCGATGATGAGATCTTTTTTACCTCTTCTTGATGACGACATAACGGTATTGACGATGAAACTTTATATATAACCTCTCGAGTGTATATATGATCTTTCGAGTAGATGTAGTGATACTTCC